TCCCTACACCCTGAGCCAAACTCGGGACGTCTTTCACTGCACTGCTGAGAACACTCTCTTCTACGTGAAGGAGAGCACTCTGTGGTTAACTTCGTTAAATGCATGCCTGGATCCATTCATCTACTTTTTCCTCTGCAAGTCCTTCAGAAATTCCTTGATGAGCATGCTGAAGTGCCCCCATTCTGCAACGTCTCCAACTCGAGAAACCAGGGGGAAAGGACAGGAGGGGAGTGACCCAAGTGAAGAGACTCCAATGTAAATAAATTAACTGAGGACATATTTCAAGCTATGAATGTTTGGAATTCCTTAAAGAAAAGCACTATGTAAAAATATTAACACTGACTAAGAAGTAGCTGAGTTAATAGCAATGACTCCTGAAACAAGTAATAGAAGACTACAAAGTAATTTTAATTTACTTTTTCAGTATTACAGTTATCTTAAGATGAAAAAGAACTCTAACTTTTAGCTGTGTAGCAAAACAAACTTCATACATGCACCATACTGCATGTAAAATGACAGAATTCACGATCTGTAGAATTTTGGCAAAATATATAACCATGCATATAATAACAGCTGATATGGCTTTTAAATATATCATTGGTCATAACTATAATCAACTACAGGAGAATGATAAATTTGATTTTATCATCTGACAAAAATACTAAGATGTATATACATCCTAATAATTCAATCAAATTCTAACCTATTGTACTTAGGAAAATTTAAGTAAGTGGGGTACATAAAGAATAACAACTAACTTTTTTTTTTAATTTTAAGAGAGCTTTTTGGGCATGTGAGCTCACTGGAGAAACAGAGAGAGGCAGAGAGACAGAAAGTGAGAAATCACCCACCAAAGGGAATAGCCATGCCACAATCCCTTCTCCATTCTCCTCCCACAATCTTGGGCATGCATGCACACATGCCTGATGTGAGTTTTAAGCTGCTGGGTCCAGTACTTGAACCATGGTCGACTATGTGTGAATACAGTGATGTAAACGTTATGCCATCTGCTGGTTCTGTAACAACTAACTATTAATTATTAGCAAAAACCTTAGTAATTTAAACTCTTTGAAATGGTATTTCATCAGTTCAATGTTCTTAAATGTTCACTAGACAACAGACCTTTAAAGAATATCCTTGCAATAAAGAGGAGAAATACTGGGCAAAGTCATCAAAATAAGCAGTTACTTTTATCAAATTCTAATACTTAAAAAATGAGCATTTCCTTAACACTAGAGAAAATGGTTTTACTAACATGACGACAACGTCAATGGATAAAACACCACCACTTTCACTTACCTCACTGATCTTTATTATCTAGTTTCTAGAGAATATCTGCTATGTGGGTTAATGGATGTTTCTCCTCAGTGAGAAGAATGAATTAAATAGGATCACGAAGCTGTGCAGCATCACTACTAAGAGCAAAGTGAGTGAACTGTGTGTAATGACCTGTTTTGTATCTGTGGGTATAACAGAAAAATTTGCATTAAACTGTAAATCACTCTTTGTTGGAATTTCTTTGTTCAGAGAGATTAGATACCGGGACTCACCTCTCAATACACAACCACATCAAATGTCAAGCCCACTTATGAGAGGGTTGTTGCCAACACTATTTATACAGGCTGCTGTGCCAAGTCGCTTTGGAAAATGACCACTCACTTCAGGAAGTTTACATGCAAATGGTAAAAATAGGTTAGATTTATCACTGCAGTCTGCTTCTACATATGTCATATTTGATCTTTTTTAATCAATTGCCAGAGGGCACATGTGCCCACCAGAGAAAGAGAAAGAGAGAGAGAGAGAGAGAGAGAGAGAGAGAGAGAGAGAGAGAGAGAGAGAGAGAGAGAGAGAGAGAGAGAGAGAGAGAGAGAGAGAGAGAGAGAGAGAGAGAGAGAGAGAGAGAGAGAGAGAGAGAGAGAGAGAGAGAGAGAGAGAGAGAGAGAGAGAGAGAGAGAGAGAGAGAGAGAGAGAGAGAGAGAGAGAGAGAGAGAGAGAGAGGGAGAGAGAGACAATGACCACATGCTCCACAATGGGGCATTATCGTGAAAGTACTTTTCCCTCTATTTCTCCTTTCCATCAGGATGTTGGGTGCTCATACTCCATGCCCAATGTGCCTTTTACACTGCCATGACTGGGACTCGAACTTGTGGTTGCCCATCCAGCTTTGTATGCACAGAATTTAACTTCTGTGCCATAGAGCAGACCTTTGTAGTTCTAATACAAACAAATGTGCAACATATGTAACAGTTCATATCACATATCCCATGTATTTATGATCCTCAAAGGTGATTCTCATGAAGAAGGCATAGATACCAGTACTTGTTTTGTTAAGTGTCAGAGGTATGTGGGCTCGTGAGAGAGAGAGAGAGGAAAAGCATTTTCCAGTGGAGCATGATCAAGTCAAAATCCCTTCTCCAATTTCCATCCTGTCAGGATTTGGGTCATGCAGGCATGTACACACACCTAGCATTGTTTTTCAGGCCACGGATCTGGGTCCCTTACTCATTAGGCTATGGGGCTGTCCAAAACCAGCATGCCAATTCAATGCTAGAGGAAATTAAAAGGGTGAATTGCAGTAAAAACAAGTTCCCTGAATATCAATAATAATTTTATTCAAACTTCCCATGACACTGCCGAATGACATTTCACTATGAAGTTGATCTCGTTTAACCACCTAAATGGTATTTATCATCAAGCAGTCGCACTTCCTCCTCTGGCACTTCTCCAAGTGAGCGCTGGATGTCAGTGGAGACGCACACAAGGCAAGAGTGGAAAACCTGCATATTCTGTGTGTGGCCGGGACAAAGACAGGAGTCGTTTCTGCCTCGTAGTCCAACACAATACACTCTAATTTTCCATGCGTAAGTTTCATGTTCTGCAGGAATACTAGGGCATTTCAGTTGGAAGGGAATCCAAAAGCAACTACCCTTTTTATTTTCTGTATTAGGAAAATGAAGGACAGAGAGTGCATTAACATTGACCACACCACAGGACCACAGAGTCCAGATTCTGGGAGCCTGTACTGTGGACAGAGACTACCCAAAAGATTTATTTGTTGCTTTGTTTTTTAATTGAACTATACCGATTCAATGAAATGACAATTTCTACAAGAGAGTGAAAGAACACTCAGAAATGCTACTGCTAGTATATGGTATTGTAAAAAGCACTATAAAGTGGGACCAGCAGTTGGTGTAATAGCTATGTTGCTGGATTCCCATGTAGTCGACCACAGTTCAAGACCCAGACTCAGTGGCTTAAACTCATGTGGGCGCATGTGTGTGTGTGCCCAAAATCTTGAGAGGAGAATGGAGGAGAAGAGATTGTGGCATGGCCATCCCTCCTGAGGAGTGATTTCTTGCTTTCTGTCTGTCTGTCTCTCTCTCTGGCGAATGCACGAGCCCTATAGCAAAAATCTCTCTCTCTCAAAAAAAAAAAAAAAGGGAGTATTTGGAATTACCTATGCTCTATAGATATGCATATATAACTTTAAAATTTCCATTAAACACTGAGTTCTGGTTTGTTGGGATTTCCTTATGCAAAGACATTAGAGATCATATACTACTGCCTCAGGCATGAAACTGAAACCATACAAGACACTCAGTACTTACGGAGTGCTCATTACACAGAGAACATCTCACTAGCTCCAGCATTAGGCATTTCTCTACATATAATAAATCCTATATCTCACAAAATAACTCTCATTTCCCCCTTCCAAAAAAATATTCAGTCTTCAAATTTTGGAAACCGAAGTACAGAAGTGAAAAGCTGGGTAAGAGACAACGGATCTGGGTCCCTTACTCATTAGGCTATGGGGCTGTCCAAAACCAGCATGCCAATTCAATGCTAGAGGAAATTAAAAGGGTGAATTGCAGTAAAAACAAGTTCCCTGAATATCAATAATAATTTTATTCAAACTTCCCATGACACTGCCGAATGACATTTCACTATGAAGTTGATCTCGTTTAACCACCTAAATGGTATTTATCATCAAGCAGTCGCACTTCCTCCTCTGGCACTTCTCCAAGTGAGCGCTGGATGTCAGTGGAGACGCACACAAGGCAAGAGTGGAAAACCTGCATATTCTGTGTGTGGCCGGGACAAAGACAGGAGTCGTTTCTGCCTCGTAGTCCAACACAATACACTCTAATTTTCCATGCGTAAGTTTCATGTTCTGCAGGAATACTAGGGCATTTCAGTTGGAAGGGAATCCAAAAGCAACTACCCTTTTTATTTTCTGTATTAGGAAAATGAAGGACAGAGAGTGCATTAACATTGACCACACCACAGGACCACAGAGTCCAGATTCTGGGAGCCTGTACTGTGGACAGAGACTACCCAAAAGATTTATTTGTTGCTTTGTTTTTTAATTGAACTATACCGATTCAATGAAATGACAATTTCTACAAGAGAGTGAAAGAACACTCAGAAATGCTACTGCTAGTATATGGTATTGTAAAAAGCACTATAAAGTGGGACCAGCAGTTGGTGTAATAGCTATGTTGCTGGATTCCCATGTAGTCGACCACAGTTCAAGACCCAGACTCAGTGGCTTAAACTCATGTGGGCGCATGTGTGTGTGTGCCCAAAATCTTGAGAGGAGAATGGAGGAGAAGAGATTGTGGCATGGCCATCCCTCCTGAGGAGTGATTTCTTGCTTTCTGTCTGTCTGTCTCTCTCTCTGGCGAATGCACGAGCCCTATAGCAAAAATCTCTCTCTCTAAAAAAAGAGAAAAAAGGGAGTATTTGGAATTACCTATGCTCTATAGATATGCATATATAACTTTAAAATTTCCATTAAACACTGAGTTCTGGTTTGTTGGGATTTCCTTATGCAAAGACATTAGAGATCATATACTACTGCCTCAGGCATGAAACTGAAACCATACAAGACACTCAGTACTTACGGAGTGCTCATTACACAGAGAACATCTCACTAGCTCCAGCATTAGGCATTTCTCTACATATAATAAATCCTATATCTCACAAAATAACTCTCATTTCCCCCTTCCAAAAAAATATTCAGTCTTCAAATTTTGGAAACCGAAGTACAGAAGTGAAAAGCTGGGTAAGAGACAACACACCATGGCCCCGTCCACAGCTTCTGCGGCTGCAGCTCAGCCCTCCTACCTGTTTTGTGTAGCCAGTGAGCTAAGAATGTTGTCTAACTTTTATTTATTTATTTATTTATTTATTTATTTTTTAAATTTCACACGAGGCCACGTGAGCTGGCTGGAGAGAAACTGGTACAGAGTAGGGGTGGGGAAGTGGGAAATGATCGTGCCACCACAATCCCTTCTTCTCCATTTCTCCCTCCTCTTGGGATTTCGAGCATGCACACACACGCACATGACGTACTTCTTAAGCCATCAGTTCCAGGACTAGGACCACACAGTCAGCCACATGGGATATGGCCACTTTAACCACCATGCCACAGGTTGGCCCTTAACAGTGCCTTTCACATTTCAAAAGTGTTTTTTAGGGGGGTGGGGGTGGCGGTGGCGGTGGGGGGGGTCAAAATGAAAACAAAATTTCATGTCACATGAAATGTATATAAGATTCAAATTTCAGTGTCCAGAAGTAAGTTTGTGTTGGAACAATCACACTCATTAGGTTGTAGCTATGGCTATCATGCTGTCACAGAGATGAGCTGTTGTAACAGACTATATGGCCCATGAAACCTACATATTTGCTGTCTTTTTTTTTTTGAGAGGTTTTTGCTATAGGACGCATGCGCTTGCCAGAAAGACAGAGAGAGACAGAAAGCAAGAAATCACCCCCCAGGGGGGATGGCCACACCGCAATCCCTTCTCCTCCATTCTCTTGGGATCTTGGGCGTGCACGCACATGCACCCAGCATGAGTTTAAGCCACGGGTCTG